AGAAGGTCTCACTTAGTCAAGCTGTTCCTCTTACTCCAGTTCATCCAAACTCATATTTTTTTGCTTTAGCGCAGTGCTGGAGCTTCTCTGTAAATATGGACTTCAACAAACATTCTCTTAGCTGTTGGGACTGCCCCAGTCAGTGTTTTCCAAGTGCTACCAGATCAAGACCAACAGGAGCTGTAACTGGTTCACTGGCTCTTGTGGAGACCGCAGCCAGTACTGAGGTCTGCCTATTACCTGATGCACAGGTGACCCCTCCTGGGTCCCTCAGCATATGGCACTGTGTTTCACACCCCCAACTTCCACAGAGGCACTTTTATTCATGGATGAATGCTTAAAATTTTTGTATGAGGGGGCACATGAGAGACATCTTCTGTCGCCATGATGTTGATGTCACTTTGAAAAATCAGTTAGTTATATAAGTTGTTTAATTATGTTATTCCAATACATGACTCAAAATATTTATTCTGTTCAGATTTTATTCTGTAAAACACCTGGCCTTATTATGAATGCTATTTTGAGTTCAGCTAAGAAGCTCAACAATAGAGATACATTTTTTTTAATGTAGAGATAATATAAATGCCTATTTTATTATAGGACAGAAATATGGTTAAAAAAAGAAGTTTTTTATGAAATTAGGTAACTTTTTGTTTAGGATGTACTTGAAATGGTTGTTGTGGTTCAAACATAATTCATGATTACATCCAGGCAATTCTTCTCCCAGTCTTTTTTTACATATACATTTCTTTACATATACATTTAGAGTGAATTAAGAATTTTTTGAGACAAAGTTGATATCTAATTAAAAATATAAAAACTTTAGCATTACAGTGCATGCTTTTTCTTCTGCTGATGACCTTCAATCATATTTTAAAGATATGTGCACCTCTGAAAGAATGCTTGGTAAACCAGACAAATTTGGTGTGACAGATGTGAACCTATAATTTTCAGATCCTACTTGAAGAAATAATTTGTTACCCAGCTGCAAGGAGTGTGGATAGCTGAAAAGTGCTTCAGGGTCTACCTCATTTCCAGCCAAAGTCACAGCCTTCTTAGCCCGATAATCAGGGTGTGAGTAATGTATAAATACTTGGCCCTTTCTGACCAGTGAGAAACTCCTCCATAAGGGAATCTTTGCTCTATGGCTCCCGCTGGTCTGGCAGAGGCTTCATTATCTATGAAGCATGGTCTGATAGATCCCCTTCCCCAGTCATGATTTTACCCCTTCTGTTTCACACGTTTAAACTCTTTGCATACTGACTCTCTCTTACCATTTGCTTCCTAGAGTACCCAACCGCTAACATTTTTAAATGTGTTTTGTTCAAAGTAGGCTAGACATCTTTCCTCAAAATATTGATACAAGAAGGGCCGGCNTATAGTACTGGCATACAAATAAGCAGAAAAGAGAATCCAGAAATCAGAAATACATGCATTTATACAATGTGGTCAGTTGACTTTTGACAAAGGTCAAAGACAATTCTATTGGAGAAAAGGTAGTCTTTTTAAGAAATAGTGCTGCAACATTTGGAATCCATTTACCAAAAGTTAAAAATAAATAAAAATAAGAGAACTTTAATCTGTACCTCACACCATTTGCAATGAACTCTTTTAAACTGTTTGATGATTTCTTTACTTTACAAATGTCCAATTGTTTTCATCCCCTCAAAAATAATCCCCTTGGCTATTGTTAAGAGTGCTCTACCTTCCTCTTTTGCTTTATCTCTGAGGCTTCTCCAGACTTTCCTCATGAAAGAGGCAGCAGGAGGCATCTAAGTCCTTTATTATTATTGTGTGTGTAGATGGAGCTGATTGTGATTGCGGTGTTATGTGATTATTGATTTATCGCCCAATGTTGAAGACTGATTCTTTTTGTTTCACAACAATAAAAATAAGCTACGACAGGGTGGTTAGCACATCTGTTATTTTTGTTTTGATATGTCCTGACACTAGCACATTGAATGACATGTAGTAGCTTAGCAAATATTTGTTGAATGAACAGATGAACTGCATTTTTAAGCTGACATCATAAAATGTATGACATTTTTACCTTTATTATCTTTAGTATCTTTCCCATTTAGTTATGCTTGTTATGGGTAAAAGGACAGATTTTGATAGATGTGATATCTATCCATATGGATTTTTACTTTGTATCTATTTTGCATGTTTAATTTACATAATATTATAGTTTGAAAGTTTTATTTGTATATAGGGAATATTTAAAATATGGAACTTTATAACTACTTAATAAAGATGAATTATGCTCATATATAATAACTATTAATATTGTTATATAGCTTTGATGTATTTTTCTTGTGATGAAACAAAACATTATAGATTAGTTGAAGTTACTCTTGGCCTATATACTAAATATTAATGAAGATATGCATATCTAATAGCTGGATGCAGTATAAGAAATGCCTCTATAGAAAATTATAGGTGAAGTTAATTTATTAGAAAAGAAGAATAGTTGAAAACAAAGATATAACTTCCATTTCAAGGAGATAGTAAAAGAAGAACAAGTAAGCCCAAACGAAAAAGGAAGGTAAGACTGGAAATCAATAAAATAGAAATCTGACATAAAATAGAAAAAGTCAACAAAGCACTAAATTTCACACATTTAACAGTTGAAGAAAATCCAGTAAAAAATTAGCAAAACTGCTGATCATGCCTCAGTGAACTAGAGCCATGTTTGTTTTTCCTAAATAAACATGTTATTTTGTTTTTTAAATTTTTGTGTAAAACAATACTTTAAAAATCTCTTTAGGGCCAGCCGAGTGGCGCGATGGTTAAGAACTNTTTGTTCTTGTAAGAGGCGTAAGGAGGTGGTCCAGTTTCATTTTTTTGCATGTGTCAGTCCAATTTTCCCAGCACCATTTATTAAATAGGTTATCCTTACCCCATTGTAACTTCTTGCTTCCCTTGTCATATCACCCCTTTAATTTTATATAGTGTGCCATCCCTTGAAATGTTTTTCCATAAACCTGTCACAAATGGCCCATGTCCAATAAAAAAGGAAAATAATAACAACAGCAACAATAAAGCTTATCATAATTAAAAAAAAATCTTTAAGCTATTGTTTCCTGGTAAGGCTTATATGCATTTACATATGTCTTTGCTGTTCTCCACTTTTGATTCAAAAAAAGTATTTTTACCATCTTGTAAGTGAATTTGTGTACTTTTCCAGAAGTTTTCCATCAATCTTCCACTGGGTGTCTTTCTGAGGAACTTCCCTGATAGCATATCATCTTTAGGTGCTGTGTAGTCTAGCTCAAGGCAATCTGGGTAACCATGAGGTTTAACCATTTGCTGACAATTACATTTGCACTAGGGTTTCTAATCCTTGGCACTACTGATATTTTGGGCTAGACAATTATTTTTGTAGGGGTCTGTACTGTGCATTGTAGAATGTGTCCTGTAAGATGGTTAATAGCATCCTTAGTCTTTACACAGTAGATGCTAAAAACACACTTCACCTCCCAGGTTGCAACAATCAAAAATGTTTCCAGATATTGCCATAGTGTCCTGGTAGCAACATTGTTTCTAACCTGGAGCCATTGTTTAGGAAGCCCAGAGTTGGCCTTTTTGTTCCTTCAGGTACAATGGTCCATATTTCAGGAACATGTGAAAATANCAAAAACAACTTCAGATATTTCCCTGAATATATTTCCTTTCTTTCACCTCTGCTTCATCTTGGCACATGATGTTCCTTCACAGTGGACCATAATTTTCTACTTTGACTGCCTAACTTTTATATGATCCTTAAGGCTGGCTACTGTGTCATCTCAGTAAAACCTTCCTTGACACTGTCTTTCTCCAGCTGGAGAAAAACATCTCTCTGTTTCTATATGAACTTCTTACTTTGAGCAACACAATTGTCATGTGGCTGTATAACAAACCATCCCAAAATTTAGTGTCTTAAAAAAATTTATTTAGATTATAAATCTGCAATTTGGACTATGTTCAGAGTAGGACTGATTGTCTGTTTCACTGGGTGCCAACTGGAGAGGTGGAAAAACAGGTTTGAAATAATTTGAGGATTTGTTCACTCACTATTAGTTGATAACGATCCAGCTAAGGCTAAGACCTCAGCTGTGTCTATTGGCTGAAACACCTTCATGTGGCCGCTCTATGTGGTCTGGGATTCCTTTCAGCATGGCGTCTGGGTTTGAAAAGCAAGCATTAAGTAAGATAGAGATATAAATGTGTATATGTATATATACATACCATACTTCTCCATGTATAAGATGCACCCTTTTTCAAAAAATCTGGGGTCTAAAAACTGGGTGCATTTTATACAGTGGTTGTAATTTTCTTACTTGCATTTCTCACAAGTGATGAGGAGTTGTATGAATTTCATGATGAATAAAACTTCAGTTCAATAACTTTATGTAATACTTTTTTTTTTCAAATTTTGGGCCTCAAAATTGAGGTACATCTTATACATGGGGAAATATGGTATATACATATACACATTTATAGCTCTATCTCTATATATGTATATATCTTACATATATATATATATATATATATATATATATATATATATATATATATAGAGAGAGAGAGAGAGAGAGAGAGAGAGAGAGAGAAAACAAATAAAAAACATATCACTTTAAAAGACCTAGCCTCAGAAGTCTTACAGGTCACTTCCACAACATTCAATTCATTGAGGCAAGTCCTACCCAGTTACAAGAGTAGAAGAAATAGACTCCATCTCTTGATGAAGCAGTGACAACTTTCTGGAAGGGAATGTGGGATTAGAATTATTTCTGTGGCCATTTTTGGAAAATAAAATCTGCCACATCATATCAGATTGTATTTTTTCCCAACAAAAGCGAGAGTTCTGTGAGAGCGATGACTTCTTGTTCATCCCTGTATATACTTGTTGAGTAAATAAATAACAGTCTCCTTCATTTCATGGACATCAGGTATTATAAAGAATAGAGGAGTAAGTCAGGGTACATTTAAGGAAATAGTGCCTCCAAGACTAGACACAGCTAGTAACAAAAGACATGGGTCACACGGTCCCGGATCTGTTTGGTCTTCACACTGTAGACGATGGGGTTCATCAGAGGAGGGAATAGAAGATACACAAAGCCCATGATCACTTGGACAAGATGAGGTGTGTGTTTTCCAAAGCGGTGGATGACAGATAAGCCAATCATAGGTGTATAGAAGAGAAGCACAGCACTGATGTGGGAAACACAGGTGTTAAGAGCTTTGAGTCTCTCAGCCCTGGATGCGATGGATAGCACAGTACGCAGGATCAGAACATAGGAGAAGAGAATAAGCAGTGAGTCTATACCCACTGTGGAAACAATGACAAACATGCCATAGATGCTATTGGCTTTAATGTCTGCACAGGCCAATTTCATCACTTCTTGGTGGAGACAATAGGAATGTGAGAGGACCGGAGAGCCACAATAGGGGAATCTCTTGAGCATAAAAGGTAATGGGAAAATGAGTGCTACACTTCGGCCTAGGGAAGCCAGGCCAATCCTGCCAATGACTGTGTGAGTGAGAATGGAAGCATAGTGCAAGGGGCGACAAATGGCCACAAAGCGGTCAAAAGCCATAGATAGAAGCACAGAGGACTCCAGGAAGGACAAGCAATGAANAATAATTCATGTTTCATGGCCTTGAAAGGAGGCATGCAGATACTGTGTAGAGTAAGGATACTAAAAAACCTGACAAATTCTTGGTGTGGTGTCTGTGAGAAATGGATGTGGGAGCTGAATAGGAGTGTAAAATAACAATAACATTACAAGTGATATTTCATGATCATCTGAGACAGTAGATGTCGTGGCACCAATTTGAACAACCCCATGATTGTCTCCATCAGTGCTCAGCAGGGTACTAAGGGTATAGAGTATTAAAAGCCATTCACTCCATGAGCTCTGTCTGACTATAAGACCCCATGCAATCTTCTCTATAATGCTGTCTTCTAGCTACACACTCAAAGTTTATTTAGTTATCGCTTACAAATGTACTCCCCTTCTCATTCCTTTGATCAACTTTTTGGACAAAGTTTCCCCACAACCTTTTCTCAGATTTGACGGGTTTTCACACAATACACAATGAGATTCATCAGGGGAGGCATTAGTAGGAAAACATCAGCCATGAGGACGTGGATCATAGGAGACACATCCTTGGCAAAATGGTGGAACATTGCTGCACTCATCATGGATACATAGAAGATAAGCACAGCACTGATATGAGAAATGCAGGTGTTAAGGGCCCTGAACTGCTCTCTGGGGGTCGCAATGCCCAGGACTGTCTTTAAGATCATTATGTAGGAGAAAATTATAAACAACAAATCAAGAATGGTAGAAAGGGCAGCACAGAGTCCATAGACAACATTGGCTCTGTTGTGAGAGCATGCCAGCCTCATGACATCCTGGTGCAGAGAGTAGGAGTATGAGAGCAGGTTTTGATGACAGTATGTCAGCCGTTGCAACAGAAAGGGCAGTGGAAGGATCAAAACAACATTTTTAGAAGTCAATAAGACCCCTGTTTTGATGACTCGGGAGCTGGTTAAGATTGTGCTGTATCTCAGAGGGTTGTAGATGGCCACATATCGGTTGAATGCCATTGCGGATAGCACAGAAGCTTCAGTGACTGTGAATAAATGTATAAAGAACTCCTGGGCGAAGCATGCAGCTGCATGAATTTCATGGACACCGAATAGGAATAGTCCCAAAGTGGTGGGTAAGGAAGAGAGGGACAACCCTAGGTCAGAGATGGAGAGCATGGAAAGGAAATAGTACATGGGTTCATGGAGGCTTGGCTCTGTCTTGATAAAGAAAAGAACAATAAAGTTTCCTAGGAGAGAAAGAAGGTACACGGATGAGAAAGGAATGGATATCCAGATATGACGCTTCTCCAGTCCAGGGATCCCAATAAGGAGGAACCTGAGAACCTCAATGTTTGTGTTAACACAGAAGCTGTCCCTTTCTGGTACAGTGCAGATCACAGGCACAAAGAGGACAATCAGCGACGTCTTAAGGTAAATATTCTGTTTCTACTGTCAGTTCAGGCTATAAAAAGGGTCAAACACAGAAACAAATGAGAAGAATCGGACTTGCTTCTTCATCCAGGTATCTGTTTTCATTTTTTTAAAGTGTCAGTGAGTTAAGACTTTGCCCATTTAACAGTCCTAGACAATTATTTGACCACATGCAACTACCCATGGCCAGATCTCATAAAACCAGGTCTCCAATTTTATGGTTTTCTTATCTTAGTTTTATAAAAAACAAAGCCTTAAAGGAAAAAGCAATGTTTACTGTGAATTGGGGGGAGATAGGATTCACAAATTATTCTATACCTACATTCAGACCTGTATGTTTCTAATAGGATAGCATTTGAAATAATGGCAGAACTGAAAGTTCATAATGATACAGCCTGATATAAAAATTCCCTCAAAAATTTGTAGTCTTATATATAATTAATATATATAATTAATTAAATATATAATTAAATATTAATTATAAGACTACTCATAATTAAAATGTGTAGTCTTATAATTAATGTCATATTATATATTAATTATATGTAACATATATAATTATATATTATAATATATACTTATATATTATAATTATATATATAGTTATATATAATTATATGATTATATATATTATATATTATATTATATTAATATATACTATATATTATATATAATATTATATTATATATAATATTATATTATATATAATATATACTATATAATATATTATATATATTATAAAATATAATATATCCAGAACCACTCTAAATCAATAGGTCACCATCAGCTAATATATCCTAGCTTATTCCTAGTGTTAGTATATTAACTACTACCTAAAGCTTTCTACTTCATGGTTGAATACTCAGATTGTTTTTCTCCCTTGAATTGAATTGATAAATGTTTCAAAAAATTTCCATCTTCTTTTCTCTGCAGGTACATAATCTAGCCCCATTTACACAAAATAGCTTCTTTATTATTTTCCTTATTACTTGATTGATGTCTTTTCCCATTACTTGACTCTACAGGGAGGAAATCATGCTCACACTGTTCACCACTGCATTTCCAGTGCCTGGCATAGTAAGTGGAATATAGCTGTCACTTCATAATTGCTTATTTAATTGAATGTAATATCCCAAATTTGAAGACAGCAATGCTTTCCTCCATTAGCTATCCCTTTTTCAGACTGAACTTCATATATCAAACTACATGTGTGTGAATTTAGGTTGTTTGTTTTGCTTTAGAGTTTTCATTTGGTGTTCCTCAAACAGCAAANGTTAAATCTGCGTCTGACATAATTTTGCTACAACTCTTACTCTAATTTGTCTAGTTTTTACACAGTACACAATAGGGTTCATCACTGGAGGCACAAGTAAGAGAACATTTGCCATGAGAACATTGAAGAGAGGAGAGACATGCTGGGCAAAGCGATGGACAATGGCAAGGTTGATGATGGGCAGATAGAAGATGATCACTGCACAGATGTGTGAAACACAAGTATTGAGGGCCTTGAGCTGCTCCTTTTGGGATGCAATTCCCAGCACAGCCTTGAGAATCAGGATGTAAGACATAACAATCAGCATAAAGTCTAACATAATGCAGAGTGCTGCAAAGAAGCCATAGATGACATTAATTCTGTTATCAGAGCAGGCCAACTTCATGACATCCTGGTGAAGACAGTAAGAATGGGATAATTGGCTTTTGTTACAATATTTCAATGTTCTCAAAGTGAGGGGGAAGGGAAGAACCAAGAGGAAACTCCTAACAAAGATTACTATTCCTATTTGGACAACTTTGACAGTAGTAAGAATGGAGTTGTATCTCAGAGGATTATGGATGGCCAGGAAGCGGTCAAACGACATGATCAGGAGCACTGAGGATTCCAATCCTGTGAACACATGGATGAAGAATTCCTGGGCAAAGCAGGCGCTGGCAAAAATTTCAGGAGCATTGAATAAGAAGATCCTCAATACAGTGGGAAGGGAGGATAAGGACAAACCTAAGTCAGACAGGGCCAACATGGAAAGGAAATAGTACATGGGCTCATGCAAGGAGGGCTCTGTCTTGATGACAAAAAGGATGGTGCAGTTTCCCAGAAAAGCAACAAAATACATGCTGCAGATGGGGATAGAGATCCAGACGTGTGCATATTCCAATCCTGGAATACCAACCAAGAAGAAGGTGGTGATTTCAACAAGTGATGTGTTGCGAATGGACATGATGCATTGAAACAGAGATTCTTGAATTGGTAAAATATCAGTATCTAGAAATTTGGTAGAAAAAAAAAAGCAGTTGTTGAAGATTCTGACTCATTTCCAGTTCTCTTTGACAGAGCAAAGCATTTATGTGGCTATCATATAGTGAGTGGGAAGTGAATGCCATTTTAGACTAAAACCTACCTATATCATAGATTAGGAAAATTCCTACAGAGAAACTAGAAGTATACTTTGCATTCAGATATGAATCTGATTTCATTTTCCCTGTAAAATATTATTAAACCCTAATCAATTAATCTGGATTTTCTATTATTCCTTGCTTTTACATCCTAGATAAGATGTTGGATAAAGTATATGATTACTCAAATGACAGTGCATTAAGGCAAAGGAATCTCACAAATCAATTTCTTTCTATGTCTTGGAACTCTCACAGAAGTGTAGTCTTCCCAAAATCAAACTACACCTAGTTCTATACTCCTAGTTCTATTTCCTGCTATCTGAAAATTGTTGATTACTTCAATATTCTTTTAAAATTTCCCACTATTTTCAAATCATGTATCTATTTGTAAGGGCAGTCACTCCAGAGATTACTGACAGATTGTATCTCATTTTCCCCTGGCCTGGAATTTGTTACCAACACTACAATTTATTGTATTGGCAGGAGATTAATAACCTGAAGTGATTAGTATCACAATTTAGGAGAATTTGAATTCTATTGAAGAATGGTCCCCCAAAAGGTACATAGTCTGTTCACATAGTCTCTGGAAGAAACGTTCTTCCTAGAGGTATGACTTTTGAAGGTGTTTTCTTGCTCTGTATGAAGTTGTATATGGTTCGTTGCCAAGAGAAAAAAAATAAAGTGAAAATCAAATAGGTAAGAATATCTGAGTACTTACCAGAGAGCGAATTGTTTTGGAGAACACTTTTGAGGCTACCTGAAGGATTCCAGCNTTAGAATCAACTGGAATTAACTAGGAATCAAGTGCTGTGACCATAGGTGGGAGGAAAGACTGAAGCACCATCACCCATGGCCACAACCCCAATCACAAAGCAGAGTCCATGAGAGTCCACAGAACAAAAGGCAATGATGCTGATAGAGTTCACTTTTTTTTTTTTCAGATGAAGAAAGGATGACTCAGGAGGGGACAGTCACTGGGCAAAGGCCATACGCCAATTTAAGACTCCTGACTTCCAGAGCAGTGATCTCCCCACTCCCAATTAATAATCTCACTAGAAGTTTAGCTCACAGTGGGCAAGGCTTTGCTTTGTTTACCTCTGTAAAAGTGCTTAGAATGTGCCCTGCTATACAGTATGTGCTCAGCGATTTTTTTAAATGCCTAAATAAGAGTTAAATTTTCTTCAGTTAGCTGTTACTAACTTGGTCCACATTTTATCTCCTTAAAAGAATTCTGTGAGTAAAGTTTTATTAATAGTATGATGTTATAGATGAGAAAACAGAAGCTTGGAGAAAATTAACATTTCTAAGGTCAAGGACATAGTAAACGGCCGAATGGGATCTGAACTGAGATCTGATTTTTCTTTAGATTTCAGGCTCTAAACAACCATTATACTTTCTTCCCACGTTGATGATAATTCATTGTCAAGTAGCAGCAATAGTAACATAAAATCAAGGGCTTAGTAGGGGCAGGCAAATTACATGGTAGTCATGGTAGTTAACAATATAACTCATAAAACCAGAAGCAGAAAATATTTTTGACATGAAAATAAAGTAGAGTGGTGAGAAAGAACTATAATACCTGATGAACATCCACTATATGTCAGACACTGTACCAAAAACACTGCAAAAGGAATAGCATGAGACCTTAGAAAAACCTTGCAAGTTAATGTTATTTCAATTTGCAAATGAGGAGAAGCTTAGAGAATTTGATGATGTGCCTAAAGTCACACAGCCAATCAGTGGCAGAGCTGGAATTCAAACTTAAGTCTCTGGAGCTTCAAGGCACATTCTGAAAATTTGGAAACACTTAGGTTAGAAAAATCCAAGCAGTGAACAGATGTCAGAAAGCTGTTGTCTCCTTTCTGAGCTAGTGGTAAAACCAGACCTAGGATCCCATGAAGTCAGCAAGATCTGACTGCAGCAGTCACCACCTTGGGCAGGCACTCTCTACAGCCTTTCTTGTACCTCAGAGTACTTTTCTTCTTTCCCTCTGCAAAGCTCAAGCTGAGCCTTCTGGGACCTCTTCTTGGTTCCACAATTCGGTACCAAACACCTGTCTACCTACTATATTGATTCCTCACACAGCAAAGCTAGGCCCAGAGGCTCCAGGCCTTATACCAGGGAAGAAGGAAGGCTAAAACGAGAGGGTCTGGCTCTATGGTATAAGGAGAGACTGGAGGATGATGTTAATGCCCTGACTTTTATGCAACTGCCTGACATCTCCATTGAGAACATTTAAGGATCTTTAATCAATTCCCTACTCTGACAGTCTCCCTCAAGCTCATTATCTTAGACCATGGGAATAGGGGGAGGAGAGCAGAAGAGAGTGAGTGGTCTTGTGAAATGTCTAGATGGGGAGCTCAGAGGATGCCATACACTGGTAACTACCACTGAAGGATCTGGTGAAAGTTTTGAACAACTTTCACAACTTCGGGAAAGCAGAGTGGGTGCTGTTGATAGTGTTTTGTGTATGATGTGTCATAACTATAGTTTATGCATGCTGGATCTGTCCGTGTGCATGTTGGGTCTATAACCATATGCAGCATTTAAAATGGATTTTTAATTAACACTTTTCCTGTAACCAAAAAGGAAGCAAGAAGTCAGGCCAAGTTCTGTAATAGTGTTGATGCTTATTCTTGGTGCCCTGGGTAACCTTGTATGCTCCTGACCCCTGCCTACACGTAGGGACTCCATCTCCTCATTCTGTACCTGAGCTACTCAGAACTTAACCCTTTGATTTTAGACATCAAGGAGCTAATTGGAGAAACTATTTTTACACCTTACAAGGCAATGTGAGCCCCTGCAAGGGGTAGTTAAATCTAAAAAGCAGTTTTATATGTTACTACAGAGATATGAAGAGTTAATCATCTATTTTTGGACTCTGAAACCTGATGGAGAAGACATTTTAGAGAGAGGAATGAAGGACCATTTCAATGTTTTCATTACCCAGGTAATTAGTGTCCTTAGTATTGGATCTTTTTGGGGGAATATAAAGGCATAAATAGTAAGGAATGGCCCAGATTCCCCAATCCAATCATAAGACTTTATTCCAATTCACTGGCTTGACTGGTCCCTTTGGAATAGAGTGGGCTTCCTCTTGTGGCCACATCCATTACTCTCTGGCTGAGCATGTATACACATGTGAGTGTTATGAAGCAGTATTTTTCAAATCATAGCCCCCAGATAATCAGAATCGGAACCACCTGGGATGCTTGCTGCTATGCAGATCTCTGGGCCTCATCTTTGCAGAATCAGAAACTGACATTTGTGGCAACTACAAAGGTTTAGGAATTTTCATATATCCTTGTTTTTATGATTTGTTTTCAACTCTGATTCCAGAATTTTTATTCCCTCTATAATTAAAAATGCATCTTCACTTTTAACCTGGAATTCATTCCAAAACACATTACCTCTTATGTTAGATTTCTAAGGCTGCAGAAACAAAATATCATAGACTGGGTGACTTTAACAACAGAAATTTATTTTCTTACAGTTCTAGAGTCCAAGGTCTAATAAAATCCAAGATCAAGGTGTCAGCAGGTTTAATTTCTTGTGAGGCCTCTCTCCTTGGCTTGTAGGTGGACACTTTCCTGCTGTGTCCTTATATGGCTTTTCCTCTGTGCATGAGTATCACTGGTGTCTCTTCCTCTTCTTATAAGGACACCAGTCATATTCCCCCCACTCACAAGAAAATATTTATTTACAGACTCTGATTTCAAGCACTTGAAAGAGAGAGATAGTATTAGATGTGATTTGGCAGAAAATAGATTTGAATCTCAGGTGTTATGCACACAGAGGGGGAGGGAGAGAGAGAGAGAGAGAGAGAGAGANAAATTGCAGACCTGAGGACTGAACTCAGAGCCTTCTGGGGCCACTGCCTTTGTTCTAAAGTTTTATGTTACATTGCCTTTTAGGACATAAAGAAAAAAGAATGGATGAAAGACATTGGCTTTTGGGGGGATACTGATAGGCCAGAAGTGCAAACTGGTAGTCCACAGGACAAAGCTTGCTTGATAACTTTATTTGATCTGTATAGCTGTAGAATGTTAAAAAAAATTGCATTTTACATAAGAATCTGGATTTTTATTTTCTTTTTTAAAATCAGCACATCTATTGTAATAGCTATGTATGGTGTCAGAAGGATACTAGACTTATCGAGGTAATCACTTCGTAAGTTATATAAATGTTTAATCAGTATGTTGTACACCTGAAACTAATATAGTATTGCATGCTGACTGTAATTGAAAAATTAAAAAAAAATAATCACATCTAGTAACATCGGTCCAGCATTCTGGAGCTGTAGTTGTGTCCCTTAAGAAAGAGTTAACCACAGATCACACCCCACCTCTTGTAACTTGTCTTCAACCGTTTTACTTCATTCATTTACCTGACTGCACAATGTCTGAGGGATTTGAGTTTGTCATTCTGGTTCTAGGCTTTCTGTGAGTGAGTCAAGTCAGTTGTCTTGCTTACTATACGTTTAATAAAGGATCCCAAGTCATGAATTCGTTCCTATATCATGGCCTTCTCTTCCAAGCTTTAGGTTCATAGGTCCAAATGCCTATTGACTCTAATTTTTAGTAAGAATAGTAATAATAGTATCTCATAGTTATTGATATATATTAAGTATCATATATTGTGCCAAATGCTTTGCATAATACATGGTGCATTCTTGTTTTATTCCTCATATTAACCTATTAGGGAGATATTATTACTTATGCCCACTTGACAGATGAAGAAGCAGGGGTTTAAAAAGGTTAAAAAAAAACCTTCTTGGGGCACACAGCTAATAAGTGATAGAATCTGGATCCTATGAGATCCTATTAATTGA